CCCAAACATGACTCGACACGTCCATCCCTTTCTTCTACGCACGGGCAATATCGTCTGTCCTATCAACATTGTCGGACTCTCATTGCCTGCGACGGTCCAACAATGATGACATCTGAAGAAGACTGAAAAGACTGGTATTCGATATCAATATATATATATATTAAGATTTGCGTTTACGACTCGACGTCATCCTCTTGCTACCGGCCCCCCCCCCCCCCCCCCCCCCCCCCCCCGCCCCCTACCCTACCCTACCCAAGCCTCGACAGATGGTCCACACCCCTGAACCCTGGAGATTGCGAGCAAGAAGAAGTGTGTATCTGTGCGTACGAGTAAACAGAGGATTTCGGGTCCTGAAATTTCCTCTTCTTTCTTCTTTTCTTTTTCTTTCTTTCTTCTTCTTCTTCTGCTTGCCCTTTCTTTATTTCTCTACGGAGTAATGTTGCTCATCCTACAGATTACTAGTATACGAGTGGTGGTGCTCCCTCTTCCTTGGCCACCTAGCAAGGGGTAACACTACCTTACATGTATGAGTTTCAACACTGCGAATACACCCCCAACGACGTAATAACACGTCAGGTCCGTATGCTTGTGCTTTTTTTTTCCCCCATCGACCCGTATAATGCGGCACCCATCAGGACAAGGTACCCTCGTGCTGGCTCGCAGACCGCGTTTGCGTGACGACGACAGCCTATGACCAGCCGACCATGTTGTCATACTGCCTATTGCCCTGCAGAGGTAGTGATGATACCTGTGCACCCGACGTTTACATGTAAAGGTATGCATCCCCATGTAAAATACACAGATTATATATAATACATACACATATATGTATGTATTTTTTTTGTAAAGGAAGGGAAAGAAAAAGAAGAAGAAAACACTGTCAGAGCCTTATTCGGTGTGTCAGCTTAGATATACGCCCCCCTTTTGTCTTGGTTCGGACGGAACCCGGTTCTACTATTAATATTATTTCCTTGCAACTTGAAAAATCCCTGACTGAGGCACAGACCTTGGACCACACACACACACACGCACACACACCGACGCACATACGCGCACACACAAACATGGTTATTGCTCGTAGGGGGAGGAGGAGGGGGAACCCCCCAGTTCGGCGGAATAAGCTGAAAAGTTCTTGGGAGGGAGAAGAGGAGGATCAAATTTCGAATCCTTGCATCATTTCTTATTTTCTCGTTCTTCTCTTCTGTTTTCGGAGGGGGGGCTTTCTCTTCTCTTTCCTTTGCTGAATGCCGTGGCGTGTTATCTGTGAGAGCGTAATAATATATAATATACGAGTTAGAAGAGTGAAAAAATTTTCATCTTGAAAGGACCGGGGGGGGGGGGATTCTGCTTTTGCTATCCCTTTTCCTCCTCCGCACACGCCACACACACAGACGGCACACGCACACAAAAATGAAGACCTCATCTCCCATAACCCTACACACGAACACACGCACACAAATGAGAAGAGTAAAAAGTAAAAGCTGGAAGAGAAAAAAAACCCCAAATGGGAGAATATGAAGAGAGAGAGAAAAATTGAAAATGGAAAGAGCACACATAGAATACACCCCCCCTGTGACTCATAAATCGATCCTGCCATGTATTCGCTCCCAACCCATCATCTATCTGTATTGATGTCCAAAGACGTGGCCGTGACAGGCTCTACCGTCTTACCAAATCTATAGTGCGAGAGTAGTTACCGGCCTGGAGAGGAATATTTTACAATGGCTACACCAATGAACTCGTGCTCCCCTTTACCTCTCTCTCTCTCTCTCTCTCTCTCTCTCTCTCTCTCTCTACTTCATATTATTATTACTTTGTGGAAAAAAATGTTACATCTACCCCCCCCCCCCTCCCCAAGACGAATCGGGCTTTCCCAAGCTGCAGGCACGATTGGCGCTCCCGTCGTCTTTAGTGTCCCCACTTCTTCTTCTTCTCATTCTTCTTCCCGGCCGCTCTTCCCACGAGTTGATGCCGCTACTGCTAGTACTACGAGTACATGTACAGATTATGGTATATATATACAGAGTATATATGCAAACTTCACCAGCAACCGCTACAACTGTCTGCAGCTCCCTCGTAACTCCCCTGTAACTGCCCTGCATCGCTTCCTGCGCTGCTACTGTCTACTGGCAGCTAAGAAGAGAGAGAATTAACGTTTCCCGGGGCCACTCTCCGTACTCCCGGGATGACACTGTGTTTTTACTAGTCATAGATATCACTTCTCCAGTACATGTAGTATTAGTAATACTACTGTTACTGTCCAGCAGTCTTTTTTTTTTTGACCGCTCGTCAACAGAGAAGAGATTTTTTTTGGTTGTAATAATAAATTAGAGGTTAACAGCAGATTTTTTGTTTTCTAAAAAATAAAAATAAGACTGCACATCTCACCGACTTTAACCGACTGAGAAGAAGAAGAAGAAGAAGAGAGGAAAGACAGCTAATAGGGAAGAGGACGGATCTGTCCTAGAGAAAGAAAGAAAGAAGAAGAAAGAGCTCTATACAGCATCTTGCACCTCACACACACACACACACACACACACACACACCCCTCCTTCCCTTTTGTTGTTGTCGCTTTCCGCCTCATGGCCTCACTCTCGACCTCCCTTCCCCTCATGCGACTGTACCCAACCGGAAGGGCGACCAGCTTTGGTTGCTGTCGTCTTCTTCTCCTTCTTCGCACACCTTCTTCCCTCGGTGCATCGACTTGTCAAACACCCTCTCTTCAAATCCCATCTGACCAATGATAAAGCCTGACTAGCAATGAAGATTTCAACTTGCAACTTGCATGATACTCTCTCTGCACCGCACTGCACTGCCCCTCGTGCTCATGCGAGACCGACACGTACGTTGGCTTTTTTCTTTTTTTTTTGTGTGCGTGTATGTGTGTGTCTGTATATGTGTCTGGTCCATCTACCTATTCTGTCATACCGGTCCGATTTGTTGTTGCTGCTGCTGCTGTTGTTGTTGTTGTTGTTTTCTTTTTTCTTTTCCTTCCCCTTTCCTTCTAGGCATGACTGTTCTTCCTTCTTCCCCAATGGTTATACAGGCTTTCTCAGTATGTTGATACAGATGTATGCCCAGTCACCCCATCCCCTTTCATCCCAACCTTGACATCGCCGCCCACAGCTTTCCATGTCATCTGTCCCTCTCCGCCCATCGTACAGAAGACACGATGTTGATGATGAGAGCCGAGAGAGAAGGTGAAAAACACCACCCTCGCAATCATCCTACATCATGACGTCTTGCCACGACTGCCCTGACGTCGTGTTTGTCGTCCCTCCCCCCTCTCCCAAGTTCTTTGGACCCGATGAATGCCCAATCATCACGGCAAAATGCTATCCTGTATACCTGATTGGTCTCTTTTTTTTTGTTCTTAAAAAAAAGGAACAAGAAAAAAGAAGACATGTCTTGTTTTTTCTTCTTCTACTCTTCCCTCTGTATTACTTTTCATCATTGTCATCATCATCCGGGTTTCACCATGATGAAATGAAGTGAAGAAAGGGGTTTTTTTTTTTTTTAAAAAAAAAAAAAAGAAAGAAAGAAAGAGAGACAAATGAGCCAATGAAAATAGTCATGTTGACAACGAGAGAGAAAATCGGAGAGACGAGCCAACAAACCTCACTTACGAGCTACTACTCGCGGTCCGTCCCGGGAACTTGTAAGACCGGCGCGACGCTTAGTCGGACGGGACTAGACTAGAGACTAGAGGAAACCCTCACCACTAGGACACATCCATCGCCAAGCAGATACTGATACCTGCCCTGCTCTGCTCACACTGTACGTCTTCGCGCTCTTCATGATTCGCCATGCGCAAATCTCTCCCTTCCTGTCCTCCTCGAAATCTCGCCCAACATGCCATCGTGACAAGTCAGCTTACAGCAGCACCTGGTCTAACCGGTGCGTCGGTCCCGACCGTACCATCGATGCATCTCCCTCGCCCACATAATACCCTTTTCGCCTTACTCTCTCTGCAAGTGATTCCATTCCCCTTTCAAGTCAGGGGGAGAGAGAGAGAGAGAGAGCCTTTTATTCTTCGTCCCCTTTCTCTCCTTGATATCCGCCATGACTCACATAAATACCACAACATCGTTAACTTTTGCCCCTCAACCTCCTCGGCAAAAATAAAAAAACTGGCTAAACCCTTAAATTAAATTAAATGAAAAATAAAAGCGTTGATGATATATCAATCATATATCCTCGTGACTTGTTCCCTTCCCATCATCTTGTATGATTGATACATATCATTGCTACCCTATAATCCACAGATATAAAACCGGGCAGCAAGCGAGCACGCGCGATCAGGCCCATCTTCTTCATTTTCGACATCAACCTAGTTTTCCTGACATGTGATGTGTGTTGGTGACCAATGACCGCACACTCTCTCTATATAGATTACAAGTGCTTGCATCCGTGGTTGATGGGTCTCGGGTCTTGTAGATGACGTGGACGTGGGACCTGTACATCGTTGCAGCGTTGCAGCGTTGCAGCTATTCGCGAGAAGACTTCAGGTCTGCGTACATGTAATTCATGATATACAGCACGTATGATTGATTTTCTCTTCTTTTCTTGGTGTAAGACAGAGGGGAAATACGTGTATGATTTTCCATTCCAAGTTATGCAGGGTAGGTGAAGGGGCGGGGGGCGCGGGGGGGGGGGGGGGGGGGGGGGGTTGGGGGGGGGAGCCACAGCTCTAGGGTAAGCAACTCCAGTGCGCGTCGTGGTCTCCCTCGACGTGATGATACCAAGATGTAGTCGTGATGAGAAGAGGTGTAAAGCTGAAAGTGCAGAGAGGAAAACAGGGGTGAAAGCGGGACCGGTTCGCAGAGGATAAGAAGAAGAAGAAGAAGAGGAAGAAGAAGAAAAAAAAGGAGTCATATACTCTTTTCCCGAAAAATCATCATGTCGTTAAAACAAAAACCCACAAATTCATCCAGAATGAAGAGATAAAGAATAAAAGAAGAAAGGAGAGGAGGAAGAGAGAGTTTCCCCGACGTCCAAAG